TCTACCAATGCATCCCTCTATGTATGATGATTAATAATAACATAGTCATGTTAGGAGCAGAATGCTGTGATTTTGAAATACACTTGCAGAGCATTCGCTTCCTGCTTTGAAAGGGTAAAATGACTTCCGTTGGCCAAAGCAATACACACTGGGATTGCCTTGTCATCAGCAGAGCATTGCAGGGAAATCTCATCTGTAATTTCAGGAGATCTTGGGGAAAGGCATTTTCCTCCCCTGAGATGATGTGCATGGTCACATGTCCTAGTCACGTGTCAGAAATCCAGGAATTAAAAGGAGAGCTAGTAACCTGCCCTTAGTAAACATGTCCACTGCCAGAAGACTGGGGAACAAAAGAGAAAAAAAGGTATGCAAAGAATACAAAGCCAGCAATTATCTAGAAGTATGTGTAGATTTGTCATTAAAATAATACGCACCTTTTAGAAATGCTTAGTAAATATATGGGTAAAGGTCCACTTTAAGCCCATTTCCAGGCTCTAAATTACATATTTAAAAATTGCCCCGATTTGGGATTTAAAATGTATGTAAATTCAATCACTAAATCTCATTTAGCTTGAACTTGTTAATATGTCAAGTCCTTGTAATCTTTTTAAATTTGCAGCTTTCATTGAAAATCATATCTAGTGACCCTGCCATAAAGTTACTTGTTTAGACAAATCCTGTTGTAGAGTTACCAGTGCCACCCTCGGTAGTTTCAATTGTGCTCCTGTGTTGTCATCCTGTCGCATGGGCTTTTGAGGTTGCCTTTAAGCGGCCATGCCCATGCACAGGCATGGTCCACGGTTGCCACCATTTGGAGGCCCACTCCGAGAAATACCATCTTCACTGGAGTGCACGTGGTTAGGAAGTAGCTGCAAGAGAATAATTGTGCTGACATGCAACAACTGATGAGCAAAAAAAGATGAAATGCATATTTGTTACAAAACAAAGTCAATTGTTTGATACACTGTGCTTTAGTCATCCAATTAGGCCTCGTTCACATGGGTATAAAGAACGGATATTTGCTTTATTCAAATATCCCCAACACTTTACAAGGTCAATGTTTTTTCTGTAATATCCAGATGAATGGTATAGTACAGACACACAAAGATCAGATTGCGTTTGTACTTCATTTGCTTTGTTGCGCTGTGTTAAAGCTCGCCTAAAACGTTTGCCAAGCACCGACACTTGGCAAATCTTGTCAGATGTCTTAATTCAAGTCCATGGCAGCATGCCAAAAATGACCTCTAGACACTCGGGTATCCACCAAGTGTCTGTTCAGCATTCAGACTAAAATGATTTCCCTAAGGGGATTTGAAAGCTTCCTGGGATATTTAGCAAATGTCTCTTGAATGCACCCGAAAGACATAAATATGCTATAGGTTTTTTCACAAACATTTTAAAAAAGCTTTCCTTTCAATCCATGTGTAAACGCAACCTTTAATTTATATCCTTCAGGGCTTGTTCACACCAAGTGCGGAGCAGTTACAGAACGCATCAAAAATGCATCCATGGCATTTTGGGCTCTAGTTCACACCACAGCGTTTAGTTCCAGAGCATGTGGAAAAACTGCAGCAGGCCCTTATTTTTTTTTCTGCTCTGGAACGTACTGAAAGCCCATTTAGGCAGAGCCGTGACAGGATCGAGAGGTGAGCGAATGCCAGTATGTGTTCACTCACCTCCCGATCTACTGAGCCGACCTGTGACAGTCTCATTGTCACAGGTCGGCTAGAACTATGAGGATGAGTGAAAAGCACTCACCTCATAGTTCTCCTTTTTAATAGTTAAGGCACTTGAATGTATTAAGATCCAACTCCTGAGTTTAGTGTCACTTTAATGTTCCTCTATGGTTTTTTATTTCACTTTTTTTTGTTTTTTTTAATCAAAAATTATCAATAGTAATATCAGTTGGGAACTCGACATTTTGGAATTACCCTTGCTTTCAATTTTGGTGACCATCACAAAATCTGACAGGGTAGCTAATCCTTCTTAATTTTTTCTAAATCCAAATAAAAAGTAATCCTTTTTGTTTTAGATGCATGCAAAGTATCCAAAGTGAGCTTTTGGAGAAGTCTGGTGAAACTACTCCCATCTATCTCCACCTAGCTCCTCCCCTTATCTAACGTAAAACAATTTTGGTTTTTAGTCCGTATAATTTTTTTTTTCCTATCACACTACTAAAGATCAACGGTTGCCTATGCTATTTAATTTGATTCATGCTCTTTTATTTGTGTTATGTAATGGCCACAGCTGTATTGCTCATTAAACAGTCATTACATAAGCGTTCAGCTTCTGTCCTTCAGGGTCTTAAAAGTTCATGTTGCAAGTTTTTAAAGCCCCCTCTGCCTTGTAAAAAGGAATTCTAGAAACAGAGGGCATGAATATAAGGTGTCATCTCCTTGGATATTTGACTTGATCATCTTTCTGACCACAGCTATTGAGGACTGGCATACCCACCTGTTGGGGGCATCAGGCAATGATGTTCGCACTGCTGGGTTCTTTCATCGGGTTCTCAAGCACTGATGTTCAATTGAGAGTTAACAGCGTGTATAATCTCTAACAAAGAGATGCTATGCAAAGGACAGAAGCTGGAATCATCGGCTCTCAATACACTTGACCTTAACAATGCAATGTGTGAAGTGACTCCTCATGATGTTTTAAATAGAAATCTAAGACTCCGAGTGAAGTGTCTTTAGAGATAGTTCTCATAGTTTGACGTGCTGATGCAAGTTTCAACAGCTGCCAGTGCTGCTCCCCCATGGTGAGAGGAGGCTCCCTGACGGGGCAGGTACTCCACTTATTTGACCAGGGCTAGACACTTCTCAGCTGGCTTCCCAAGACAGAGAACTAGCTGTTTTAGATGGCAGAAGATCTACAAATCAAATGACATCTTGTGTGGTCTTGTGACAGCTTGCGTTCCATTATGGGTTTCTCCTTTCCTCTTTGCTTACTCTTAACTATTGGTCTGACCGTTTGTACAATTTAGAGCAGGCCTCCGAATTTAAAGCCCAAAGACACAGTGCTGCATCAGTGGTATAGATAACTCATGGAATCTTTCTAACTTCAAGGCTTAGCTAAATTGTTTTTTTTTGCAATGTCCTTATTTTAATTCTATTTTTACCTTTTTGGTGCTTTAAAGCTGAGCTATGGGTGCAAAAACATGCATTTAAATATTTTCCCTAACAGCTACAAAAGGATATTACCTTTAAAAAAAAAAAAAGTACTAGTGGCATCACTTCTGTGCTGCGCCTAATTAAAGGTGTGGGAGGGGCCCAGCAAGTCCACCCCACTACAGGCCGCCTGCAGTAACTACAGGAGGGGGCGGAGACGAGACCAGTCACCCTGTACAAGGAAAGAGCAGCAGTGACCGGTCGTTATTACAGGAAGCGCCTAAGCGGGGGAGAAGTTTCACACTGAATTACTGACACACATCTGGAAAAAACATTCACAAAATGTAAGTTAGAAAACCGTGCCTCTTGTATTTAGAAAATCTTTGCTTATCCCGGAGTTCAGTTTTATGCACAGTTAAATATTCAATCTTCCCTGTACCTATTAAAACCTTTTGTTAATTTAGTCATATGATATTCTCACTGTCAGCAAATACTTATAAGACTCTTTAATCATTTCCAGAGAGGAATGTGGTTTCTTCAGATTCCCTACAGAAAGGAGACCTTCGTTCTGTTTTAGAGGACACAACGACTAATAAAAAAAAATAAGTATACTTATATACACTATATTGCCAAAAGTATTGGGATGCCGGCCTTTACACGCACATGAACTTTAATGGCGTCTTAGCCTGTAGGGTTCATTATTGAGTTGCCCCTGGGAGACAAAGTAAAAGCACCTTGTGGGGGGAAAAAGAACCTTTTAACTATACTGAGTGAAAATGTATTCGTACTTTTGCTGTCATTTTTGAGAAAACCCTACTGTATGTAGAAATGCAAAAGGAAGCCCCTATATCACACACACACACACACACACTCTCTCTCTCTATATCTATCTATCTCTATATATATATCATATACTATGTATCTCCACTTTGTTTTTTCTGGGTTACTCAAGAAGCAAGGACAGGAAGTGAGAGAAAAGTCTTCCTAATGGAGGCACAGACAGCAATAAAAGCCTGAGAAAGGATCTACCTCCCTGGTGTCCAACCTGCGGCCCTTTGGCACTTAGCAGCCCTCTGGGCCCTTACAGACAGTGGATTGAGTTCGTGCTTGCACTACTATCTAAACCCTCAGATTTTTAAACATAAACCAATACTGTAATGTGCGCCTTACTGTTATCCATGGTTGTTTCCCTTCTCTTTGCTGCTCTTCCTTTTAATTCTGTATCTCTTCTCATGCTTGGGGAGAACTTCTCTTTGCAGCTGAGTGCCTCTACCTGTAGTGCTGGCTGTAGTGTGAACCTACACACAAACACCATGTATCCATTTCAGAGACAAGGCAGTCTGCTGCAAAACAGAAGTTCTGCCCAGCATGAGAAGAGCTACGGATTTAAAAGGAAGAGCAGCAAAGAGAAGGGAAACAACCATGGATTACAGTAAGGCACACATTACAGTATCGTTTTATGTTAAAAAAATCTGAGGGTTTAATGTCACTTTAAGGAGGATGTCACTGGAGTAACTGGGATCTGAGGGCCAGCACAGTTTGAAGAGTGAATTGTAAAGGTGACCTAAGGTCAGGGAGAGAGAGACATGACATAATGTGGCAAGATGAGCTCATGTTAAAGGCTGCCAGGTCATGTGCAAGAGGGCTACACCTGTTTATCTGGAATGGTGGTCCTGACTATTCTGAAAGGGAGAAGGGTGGAGCGTCCTCGGAAGGCTTGCTATAAAGGCCTGTGTGAATTGGGACAGAGATGGACAGTTCATCACCCTTCTGATACAAACACAACCGACTGCATTTTATTTTTATTACAGAACAAAAATTATCTAAAAACATCTTAATAGCTACAGAACTCTTTAAAAAAAAAAAATCCTGACTTGTTACGTTTTGGATTATGAACCTGGAAATGGAAGACGAAGTGAAATGGGCCACGAAGCTCATTGACCAAAAGTTGGAAGAAGAAAAAGAGGTGAGTGTTTGCTTAAGCCAAATATGTTATAAAGAATGCGTAAAGCTTATAAGGTAATACATTGAGAGCTTGAATGTATGGCTGGGGACACAAAACAACAAAAATAACATTGAAATTGAAACACAAAATTGGTAATTAAGTAACTAAATAATGGGTGGAACTAAAATAGAAATACAGTAAATGGATTGCTTAGTCATCCTTGTAAATGATAATGTGATCGGAGATATGTTACACTATGAGAAGATAATGGAAAGTAAAAAAAAAAAACTAAACACAAATTGGTAATTAGGTAACTCAAATTTGGGTAGAAGTAGCATAGAAATAGCTTAATGGGTCAGTTCGCTTTCTTTGTAATGATAATGTGATTTGAGAGATGTGATATACATATATATATATATATGAAAGATAATGTATTTGAGCAAAGCTTGTTGACATTAACTGATGTAACTCATTTTTACAGTGCTTCTAATCTAATACAGTACATTCAGAGCTTGGATGTATGGGTGGGGACTGAAAGTAAAAAAAAAACTAAATTTAAATTAAGAAAGCTAAACGCAAATTGTTAATTAGGTAACTTAAATTTGGGTAGAACTAAAATAGAAATAGCTTTTTATTTTTCCTTATTTACACAATGGTTGCCTTTGTGATTTGTTTGTTGGAGATTGTTAAATACAAAATTATAAGAAATATAGAAATGGCTGAATGGGTCGGTTAGTTATCTTTGCAATGATAATGTGATTTCAGAGATGTTATATATAATAAAGGAAGATAATTTATCTGAGCAAAACTTGTTAACATCAACCGATGTGGCTCATTTTTATAGTGCTTATAACCCACTTACTGTAACATTTAATAGGGCCACATAAAACAAGATGCATCGTGTCTGTAATTGAATACTTTGTCAGTAAGCCATCCTAGTTACCAAATATTAATAAGGTTTTGTACACCATCCAACATTTCTCAGACTACAACACTACTTAAGTATAATTACAATATTTCTTAGCCTTTCATTTCCTGTATTATTTCATAAAAGATGCAGACTGCATTCATTATGACTAATACATCTCCTACAAACAATAGACAGAGGCATAATGCAGAAATATACACAAATTTAAATAACACATTTTTGATTTTTGGTGATTGGGATTCTTTCCTGAATATGGTGAAATGCCTAAATAGTGTTAAATAAGTTAACAAGGAAGAGCACATTTTTTTTTATTAATCAATTTTTATCCAATTTCTATTACACTACAAATATACAATATTAAAGTGACATTAAAGTGAAAGTCCCCCCCAATGCTAATATAAGGACTTACCATAAATCATGCCTCTTAATCCGATCTTCTTTCCTGTAGTTTTCAGCTGTCCCTCCAGCGCAGGTTCGGATCTCCGATCCAGCGCTGACTCCTCTGTCCTCCTGTCCTCCTCCTTCTCTCATGTCTCACGGAGTCTGTTCGCGTGCACGCTGCTCCATATACTTACCTTGTGTCTCTCCTCGTCTCACGAACATCTGAACTGCGCATGCGCCTGCCCCAAGATCCTTTGCGGCCGCCTGAGAAATTTTCAGATGTTCGGACGGGAACGCGCGTTGGAGACACAGGTAAGTATTAACCCTTTTTAAAAAATTATTATTTGACATTTTTTTTTTATTGTTTTGCATATATCTACTGCTTGCCAGCCATAGATATATGCAAAAACCGCTGAGGGTTTAATACACCACCTTTAATGTATATACAGTTACAAATACCTACAAACTCAGGCATATACAGTATACACCAATAAACATTAAAACATGCGCCCATTGGTTTCTGGTTGGTCTTATTATATCCCCAAACCCATATCGCTCACTTGTTTTCTCTGCCAAATATTTGTCAAAAGAAAGCTTTATAGAGAAGCTACCATCCCACTATACATATTCGTTCACCCTTCAGTTTCTTCTTTGGCCTTTTTTGCTCATTCATTAACATTTAGTAAAGGTTCAGATCCCCAGAGACCAGAACAATACAAAACAGATCAAAGGAAGAAAAAAAAAAAGTTAGAGTGAAATGATCTGTCCAAATTAAGAAGATTACCCAGACTGAGCAGATATGTGAATATACACACAAATCCAGAAAAATTGCCTAAACTGTGCAGATTTAATGGTTTAAACTAGGGATGTCCAGATACCAGTTCAGATATATTCAGGCATTTTCATGAGAACTACCAGGGTTGCAGAGGTTGCAGCTGGGACCTGGCTCTGATCGGATCTCCGATCCAGCGCTGACTCCTCTGTCCTCCTGTCCTCCTCCTTCTCTCATGTCTCACGGAGTCTGTTCGCGTGCACGCTGCTCCATATACTTACCTTGTGTCTCTCCTCGTCTCACGAACATCTGAACTGCGCATGCGCCTGCCCCAAGATCCTTTGCGGCCGCCTGAGAAATTTTCAGATGTTCGGACGGGAACGCGCGTTGGAGACACAGGTAAGTATTAACCCTTTTTAAAAAATTATTATTTGACATTTTTTTTTTATTGTTTTGCATATATCTACTGCTTGCCAGCCATAGATATATGCAGGCATTTTCATGAGAACTACCAGGGTTGCAGAGGTTGCAGCTGGGACCTGGCTCTGGCGCTCCACCACTGTCCTGAAATCATTAGTCTGTATTGTTTTATAAAAACTGTCACATGACAATAAACAAAAGTGTATCAGTACTTGTATCTGTGAGGACTTGGAGAAGTATCAGTACTTGTAAAAAATGGTATTGGTGCTTCCCTTATATCTGTTTATAAAAACAAAATCATACATAAAACAGAGATGTACAAATCCCAGGAGCTCCGTGTGCTCTTTACACATGACAGCTGCCTCCTAATTTTTGAGTTTTTCTCTAGTCTAGTCTTGGAGCTGGAAAAGTATCTGTACTTGTACTTGTACCGAGCATGGTACTTGGTATCGGTGCATCTCTAGTTTAAATCTCCCCACAAAACTAATGGGTAGACCCAATTGGACCCCTTACCAGTTAACTACTGCACTCTAAAAATAACTGCTTAACATATAATTATGCTAATCTAATTACATTGCTGACAATATTATATCATGTGCCACATGAACAGAAAATCTCCACTTGTTTCCTCAGTCCTTAAGTGAAGTGGGCCCGTTTACCATTGTGGAGCAAACTGGTCCCAAGAAAACAATTGTTGATCTGCTATTATCAGCCCCAACAAAAGAGTGATTGGGCAAAACTCAGAAGGGGCAGATTCTCAGATTCTAAGTATAGAAGGAAGATGTGTGTTTATTTTAAATTGTGTGTGTGTATATACATATATATATATATATATATATAACACACACACAGCCTGGCCAAAAGAAAAAGAAAAAAGTCACCACCTGGAATTCAAGCAGTGTTATGATCTGGGGATGCTTCAGTTGGTCAGGTCTAGATTTAGCATTGTTTATGTCCCCAAAAAATAAGGTCAGCTGCCAACCTGAATATACTGAATAACCAGGTTTTTTCCATCAATTGATTTTTTTTCTTTCCTGATGGCACATTATTGGGCATATTCCAGGATGACAATGCCAGGATTCATCGGGCTCAGATTGTGAAAGAGTGGTTCAGGGAGCATGAGACACCATTGTCACACATAGATTGGCCACCACAGAGTGCAGACCTTAACCCCATTGAGAATGTTTGGGATGTCCTGGAGAAGACTTTACACAGTGCTCTGACTCTCCCATCATCAATACAAGGTCTTGATGGAAAATGAATGTAACTGTGGATGGAAATAAATGTTGTGACGTTGCATAAGCTTATCAAAATGATGCCATGCCGAATGCATGCCGTAATCAAAGCTAAAGGTGGTCACAAGAGGTATTAGTAATGTGTGACTTTGTTTTTGGTTAGGCAGTGTGTGTATATATGCTATTACTACTTTTTAATACAAAATAGTGTTTTTTTTATGACAAATGTATGTGAAATATGACATATGGAACAGAAGATACTGCTGCCTTTCCAAAGTTTAGGTCTCATTCACACGATAGCGCTGTGGTAATGTATTACACGCATTGGGTTGACACAATGCCATTCATTCCAAATGGCACCCAAACACACCTTGTGTTGTAGTGTACTGCCAAAATTGCTATGAACACCTGTTTTGGTGCATTTGGCAGCCTATTCAAATGAAAATTCTGCCTTATGCAATGCACAGCTTTACACTCGTGTGCCAATACAACGCAATAGTGTGAATGGGCATTTGAACGATGGCTAAAGCCAAAACCATTTTGGATAGAATTGAGAATAGTTAAAACCTCCGTGGGGTTTTCCCCCCACACTGCAAGGGTTAAGTGCTAATTTTTCTCTAGGGACACTAATAACAAAGAACTTTGGAGCCGGCTGCCTACTAGTCCAGTCCCTTCAGCCTGTCTTCTCCTCTGCTCCAGCAATTAAATGTCTCTCAGCAACCTCACATACTATACACCGTATAGGATGTGATGACTCAATGGGCTTTAGACCACTGGAGTGGAGGTGGAGCCAGGCTGAAGGTACCAGTCTAACAGCCAGCTGGCTCCAAGGTTTAGGTGAGTATAACTTTGTTGTTTTCCTAGCCCCACTGCAAGGGTTAATAATATTTATTTGCTGAATACTTCTTTAAGATAATAGTCGAGGGGATTCTCCTTACACAGCAATTCTGTGAGCTCGAAATAATTGAAAACTCACAGTTGTGGGCCACAGCATCAAATAGCCTGTTTCTCATCCAGCCCTCTTCTGTTTTGCAATGCGAAATTATGTGTTTACGGATCTTTTCTGCCGCCTGTTACATTCAATCTCTTTTATCTCCATGATTTTCTTTTTTTTTATACAGTATGGACATCATTAAAAAGAATCAAAATTGTATGAGGGAGAATCTCATCTGTGATGCTTATATAATATTTTATCTGTTATCGTTTAGATAAATAAACCTCGATTTCGGAAGATTGGAGTGATCGACATAGACTGCAGTGGAATCAATGAAGAGAACATCAAACCCCCAATCAATCGAAATCTGGCCAACTTGAAGGTATTTTTTGTTTATGTTTAATGATTTAATCAATCAAAATTTACACTTAGAAACCCGCTCACCTACCACCCCTCGACTTTAATCACTTAGAATTACTATTTTACTCTCACAACGCTACAACGACAGCTTGATGGATCCAATTTTTAAAAAGTGGTGTAGAATTCTGAGTTTTACTTCAAAGAGCCCACTTATATGTCAGTGTCTTTGCACTGCTCCACTAGATGAGGGCTACCATACTGCAACAAGAGCTTACACAGGACTTGCTTTCCCAATAGCCAGAAGCTAATCCGAGTGATGATGGAGCAAAGGAAAGGTGATAGAGGACTAAGAACAAAAATGGCTACAAAGAGCCTGGGGCTTTGAAGGTGCCACAATTAGTACAAGTTCATGTAAATTAGCAAAAACTAATTTTATTAATGCAAAAGTTTAAACCATATATTTAAAAACAATTTGGCCATTACAAGAACCGGTTAAACATAACAAGTATGGGACAGGAAAACCATATACATATAAGTATTTACCTCAACTTACTATGCGGTCTGACCAACGGCTGACAGCGAGATCCAAACCAAGAGGCTCTTTGTTGGGGACTAAGATTCAAAGCAAAACTGTTGTTTTTCCCTGCATTGGCAGAACACAGATAGTTTAGCATATTTAAGCTAATGAAGAATTATTTTGTTATACGCCGCTATGGATTACTGCACATTGCCCATTGCCTTTTGTCTTATTAAATATGGACCTGAGGATGTATCAGCAGCAGATTTATTCTTACAGACATTTACATCTGCAGGGTGAAGATCGAGTGAGAAAGACATCGGTGGACTTGAGAAAGGAAATTATAGACACTGGCGGGATCCAGAATTTAATTGAGATACGCAAAAGAAGGCAGGAGCGAAAGAAGAAGAAGTCGTTAGTGGTGGCACCAGAACCGGAGCCGGAAGTAGAGGAGATTGTAAGTGTGTCAGTTGACTCTTTCCTCTTCTGATGTTGCAAAAGAAAAGTTAAAGAGCATGGGGTTAATTAGTAAAAATAGTTTTTTGTTTTATTTGTGACTACACTGAGTGATGAAAGACCCCACAAAAAGCCAAAGTAGAGCTTACATCATTTTCTTAGGAAAGTACAAGACAACATTCTTCCAACATCTACAAGATGGGCAAATGAGGGAGTAGTAGCTAAAACCCATATACTCCCAACCCTATTTAATTCAGATTAGAGGATGGTGTAATGGTGATTGAGGCAAAGTGAGTAAAAACAGAATAAAGTTTAGATTTTTCAGCAACTTCAAACCACTATGCTAGAAGTATACCAGCGCAGACTTTCCTTTGAGTTGTCAGGTGGGAGATATAGCCCCTCCGTCTTATTCTCTGTCTACTTTTATGCCTTCTCCCAATTGGGCATCTTAATGGAGACCTTCCAGGAAGACACTGTGTAAAAAAGCCATTCCTATAGGGTACCGTCTTTACTATAATGTTCAGCTAATACTATATATGATCAACCTGACTATTACATCTGGGTATAGCTGTCTTTAGGAAGATAGTTCTTTGATTCATGATGTCAGCCAAATATGTTTAGGAATGGTTGATAATCAGTCACACTGTAAGAAAAGAGCACATGCTTTATGCACTTCAGTGAAGCCCACTCTTGCCTTATAACCTCTCTCCACACTGCATGGGGGATTTAAAGCCACTTGTTGTAATGGAGTGTCATCCTTTGTCTGGTTGAGGCAGTAACCTGTAACCTTACCGGCAGTGGATCTGCATGCATTGCACTCCAGAGCCCTAAAAAAGCAGCATGGGGCCAACTTAACAGCCTCACGTATACTGTGCCTGGTATGTGACCGCTCCTCCCCCAAGCAGAGAGGGGCCCAAAGAACTGAGCTTTCTGGTGCATGTACTCTACAGATTAGAAATAACTTTCAAACTCTTTAAAATACATATATAGCTAAACTTCAGACATGTAAATACAATCCAATGCAGTTGTGTATTCCTTTAAAAGTAATTACATTTACTTTACTTGCAACTTGCCTAAGTACCAGACTCTCTCTCTTTCTTATTAAAGTTTTATTAAATCTTTTCTTTACAGCGTAGTTTAGCAGTTCAAAATACAAGAGTAATAGCATATTACATATCTTGCTCACACCACAAACAACATATCCCGGGTCAATAGACATAATATTGTGTTTGTGAAGAAGGCTGAGTTGTAGTTATTTCAGAAGGTATACAACACTAATTGTAACAGAAAAAAAAAGTGGTGTCATCCACCTGGTAGAGGAGAATGAATCACAAAAGTGGTTGGACAGAATTACAAATCCTTTGGCCAAAAAAAAGGTTCGCATATGCATATTTAAATTGTGTATTCAGCTGTATGCCTCAAGTTCAGCTATATAAACACACAGTTGGAATATTCTGTTTATAAAATGATATAATAATTGCCACCTTTCTTTAAAACATGGACACTTCATGCATATCATTTTTGTCCAACAGACGGGACCGATCCCCCCAGACACATTCCTGCAAGCTGCAGTTCAAGGCAAGATGAACATAATTGAGAAGTTTTTGGAGGATGGTGGATCTTCAGACACTTGTGATGAGGTAGGTCTATAAAAAGGATGCCCTGAATGAGCCGGCCTGGCCTCCCACTCTGTCTGAGAAACCTGAGCATCACAGAATCTCATCAATGCATTGCTTGGACAGTGAGTTGCATTCCTCTGGTGTAGCTTAAGATGCAAGCGTACTCTGGGACATGATTCTGATATTCAGTTATGTAACATCAATTAGCATTATATCCCTAATTACTGGCGGTACATCCAAAGGAAAGACTGGACTCTCACATAATGCACAGATGATAAATTCTTCAAGTCTTATGCATGTTTCACCTCTCAGAGTTCTTCAGTGAAGCCTATACATACACAATGTTTGGTGCTCAAAGCAACTTTCCTCAGCTGGGCTCACCTCGTTTTCCCGTTTTACTGGACCTAAAGTACTTATAAACCTAATCACTAAAGTTTGACATAAAAAAAGAAGACATATGATTAGAAATGAACCCTTACCTGCTCATCTATATTTAAATACTTGTCCTTGTGTGTGAAAAGAAACGCTGAATTATTCTTCTGAAAATAACATCTTTATGTGTGTTATAATTGCCTTCCCTGCATGCAGCCCAATTTGTGGGTATTCTTACTGTGGAGTCAATCCAAAGTATATCCCACCGCACTCCTCACTGGAAACAAATCCAAATTCCGGGTGGGTGCCGAAGCAAACGCAGATGCCTCTGCCAACAGCACAAAATCGATAGAGGGTCACTCGCACTCCAATTTGATGCAAAGTCAATCCCTTTATTGACTGGAATAGTGTCACATTTATAGCGATGTTTTGGAACCAAGTGGTTCCTTCTTCTTCCTTCTTCAGGCAAACATAAAGTTATTTATACTTGCCTGAAGAAGGAGACACTTGGTTACGAAACGTCGCTATAAATGTGACATAATTCCAGTCAATAAAGTAATTGAATTTGCATAAAATTGGAGTGCGAGTGACCTATCAATTTTTTACTGTGGAGGTCAAGCAGAGCACAATTGTTTCTTCCAATCCCGCTGTGAGCGTGCCTAAGTTCAGTTGTCAGACAGTTTCATTGATTCCAGCAGATACACACACACCCACAAGTCCTAGCCCCGGGTTCCAGCTCCCAAATGACTCATACTCCAATTCACAATCAAGTAAGATTGAATACCTGTGGTCTGCTGTTCATCATATGGCATCAGTAAACACAGATTGCATGTTTTTATTCTTGGAGTACAGCTACTATATTTATTTACAGTGGTCCACCCCTGTCCTATCAGAAAGCCAGTACAGAGCAATTATGAGCAGGCAATGCTAGAGTGAGTGCATGTAGACAGGAGGTGGTTGATAAATGCAATTATTTATGATACAATGTTTAAGATAACTGAAAATTTCATCCAGTTAAAGTTTAGATCACTGAACCTTGCTTGGATGAAATATTTTGAGATTGTATAAACATGCTTCTATGGGATAATTTTATTTCTACTGCTGATGAGGAAAAAATATGTCTAACTGTACAGGAAAAAGCTGACTCCTGCCTATAGGCACATACTCTGCTTAAAGGTAAATCTGGCCCCAGTGATCACCAAAATGATCAGAATAATATGTTCTTTGTGCATTTTCGGAGCGCTCAGCCTCTGTTTTGGATGTATTTAAAGCTTCTCTGGTAGCAACCGCAGCCAAATACTCAATGCAATTTTGTCTAGTAGAGGTATATTGATGTATGTAAAAAATTTACCGGTAACATGGTTGAAACTGCAAAGGCTACATGTATTCCCAGATGAGCTGTAAAACGATCAGATCATGTGAGGTCTCTGCAATTATTTATGTATTAGTGTATAAATAGCAGCACAAAGACCTTTGGGACAGACGGTTGTAAGTGATTTAAATTACACATGAGATCTCCACGGCTAGATGTGAGGGTGATATGAAGGACACAGAACATAAAAGTGATACATCTTGTACAGTGTAATACTGCACAAATACAAATATGAATGCAATAAGAAATAAAAAAAGAGTACATAAAGAGTACATTTACTGATGAATTCTAAAAACAGAGAGTCTTAGTTTGCCAATTTGGAGAAAAGTAAAAAACAGTTATTCACTATGCCACGGACAGAGGTCCATATCCATTGAAAGAAGGACAGTTAAGGTGATTACAGGGCTGTAGCTGAGGGTATAGAGCCAGCAGAGGGTATTGATGGTGGAGCATAGCTGGCAAGACAACCATGGAGCATGAGTCACTTAGGCACAAGAAGGGCAGAGGTACTTGTAGTCACTGCCAGCTGAGGTGGCAGGGAGTAACATGTTGGAGGCATAGACTGAAGGCTGGAGGCAAGCACAAAGGTTGGATAAAGATTCTGCAGAACAAAGGAAGCCAAAACATTAATTGATGTGACCCAGGACCTTTTTTTCAGGACTGAAGCACTTCCTCTCAGTTACTGTAGGTACTGAAGTTTTCCTCAAAAACTGACTACAGGATTTAATGAACCTCATATTCTTGGGATACATTGGCTGAGGAAGTATCTAGAGACCAGACCTTTCAGCAGGGATACATAGAGATAATTGGGTAGCTTGGGATGCGGAGACCGACAAAGATTGTAGTGGGCTGTAATAGTCTTTGCAGTGAATATATGAGGTCCAATAAAACATGAGGTAAATTTCATGGAGCGAACCTTGCAACTAATGTTTTTGGAGACAATTCAAACTTTATCCTCGGGTTGGAGAAACAGGCCTCTTCAACAGCACCAATCTTCAAATTACTTGTCTCTGACTGCTGGAGCCAGTTTCAAATCTGGGACCAAATTTGGTCAAAATCTTATGGAATAGCACAGAATACAGTAATTTCTGAAGATCAAAGTATTGGCAAAGTGAGATGTGGATGCTTCCCATAGACAATGAAAAATGCATACCACTGGCTTGAGAATTTTAGAAACATTCACTAAAATATCCACAGATGAAGCCTCCTTTATTATAATATTTATATTATTTATAATCACATCAAGAGACTAAAATATCTAGAGATGAAGCCTCTTTAAAAAGGGTGATAAGCTAGACCACAGCTTGAGACTTTTATCATATTCACATCAAGAGACTAAAATATCCACAGACGAAGCCCTTATCAGAAGGGTGGGTAGCTGTACCACAGTGTGAGAATTCACAATTCCCAGTTGTCTGTTTTGAGCCCAGATCCCTAAGCCACCCTTTCCCCCTTACAGCTGTCCTTATAATCATACATAAAATTATAAAATATCAACTTCCTTTTCCGGCTACAAAAGGTGGAAGTGTGGGACCCCAAAATGGATATAATACAAAGGAGCCCAAACGTACAAGGTATCAAAAGACCATCAAAGAATAGGCACAATGTCACGTAGGTGTCATAAGGAATAGTTTTTTGTATTGTAGGTAAAAATGGTTACAACACCGGCAACACGTTTCATGGCAAACATACAGCCACTTTAGGTATCATGTATCCCAACTCTGGTATGAGCTGAGTTAACCCTTTAGTATATAAGCAAGGAGTGATATCAGGATATGAGTAGGGGTTTATTTGGCTCTAGGTCTGCTTTAAAGCTTGATTTTAATTTTGGTTGAACTATATCTAGAAATTCACATTGCTGTTTGTTTGTTGCAGTTCAAGCGGACAGGACTTCACAGAGCATCACTTGAGGGTCACATAGAGATCATCAAGAAACTCATAGACTGTGGAGCATCCATCAACTTCAGAGACAGGGTATGACACTAAGACTGGCCACAGAAAAACACATCCATCGAGCAAAATCAAACTCTTATTTACATGGCAGCAGTGGCTGGCTAAACATGCAGGTTTTCCTAACACTTGAGCTTCAACATTTATGCACACCATATTTATAGTGCTAATTTATAACTTAATGGTAATTATATACAAAACAGTTGGGCATCTATAGCCGTGAGCATGTGGGCAATTGTCATCTTTTTACTTTCGTGTTCTTGTTTTTAAGCTTTTTACTTTAATATAAAAGGCAAAAGTCCTAAATTTTTAGATTGCACAGACTTTTCATATAAAGCAGAATAGGGATGCACCGATATATCGGCCGAAATTGCCACTTTTGGCTAAATGCCGAAAGTGCAATTTTTCTGCCGATACAGTAGCGCATCCCTGGTTTCTTTCCTCCCCGCTGTGTGCTGCTTTGTGTCCCAGCGGGGAGGGGACAAACTGTGACAGGCGGCCGAGCGATGCAGGAATAGAGCGCTATGAGCGGCCGGCGTCTCACCTCCCACACTGCTCAGCCTCCTATCACAGTACAGCAGAGCGGTGTGTGGGCGGAGACAGCCCGCGCTGTCACAGAAGGCTGAGCTCTCCCTGCACCGCTCGATCAAACATTTTTCGGTTTCAGTCTGACATTTTTTTAAATTTCGGTTTCTTTTCGGTTTAGAAATTTCCATTTTGGTGCACCTCTAAAGCAGAATGTTATGCAAAAAAGTGCATACTCATTCTTTTTCTTGTTTGGGTAGTTGGATTGCACGGCTATTTACTGGGCCTGCCGTGGTGGAAAGCTGGATGTTGTGAAGTTTCTTCAGGACCATGGAGCTGAAATTAATGTAAAAGACAAGGTATGAGTTTGTAATCACATTCCTGTTCCTCATCATTTATGTATGTACATAAGGGCTGGACAAATCCCAGGGGCCAGGTAGCCAATGCTCCTTAAAAAGTACAGCTGGCACCTAACAGTTGGGTTTTTCTCTAGTTGTTGTCAATGGAGCTGGCTCCTTAAAAAAATCCTTCTGGCTCCTGGATCGAACAGACTGACCCCTGAATTCCATATTACTTTGTCTACCCCTGATGTACATTATCACACAAGTGTAAGATTGGTGATTTCCTATCCAAAGTGGTTCTCTACCTTTGATAATATTTGACATCTGACTTTGAATTCCCCAAGTATCTTTTTCTTCTATTTCTTCCTTTACTACTTGGTGAGTTACTGACCAGCCATGTCAGCCATGAAGTAAGGATGAGCACAGCAACTTAAAAACAAGTCAGTTTACAAGAAATAAAGCCTAGGATCTCAGTTTTAGAACATTTACAGATTTCGCGTGTGCAATAAATCTAAAGGTGCCTCCAACATGTAATGGCTGCCAGCTTTTGGTAGACCCTTTTATTACCACAAAGAAAAATATCTGGACCGATTTTTTTGGCTTATACGGAGGTAATCATATTTTAATAGGCGAAGTGGTAAAATCATCCAGTAATAGTGAAGAATACTGATGTCTGTTTTTCATTGTGCATCACATATTTCAGGCCCTGAGTACTCCTCTGCACGTTGCCACTCGTACCGGTCATGCTGACATAGTGGAACATCTTATTGCCACTGGGGTGAATATAAACTCCAAGGACAGAGTAAGTCTTTGTTTTTTTCATATCGAAATGGGGATGCCTTACAGGTACATAGATGATCATTAACTTCTACTTCCAGCACATTACTTGATGGCACTTACCCCACACTGCCAACATTACAATAAATGTACCACCATATGGCAAGCTGGCTTCATTCTCCTAAGACAATTGACCTCATTTTCAGTTTCCTGGACTTTCACTGGAATCGCTAGTTACTTCTCAAACATTTTATTCAACACTTTGAAGGGCGAAAAGAATGCCTTGGTTCACATCCTGGCCAGGGCACTAACTGCGTGGAGTTTGCATGTGTTTCTCCCACACTCCAAAGACATGCTTGTAGGTTAATTGGCTCCTGTCTAAATTGGCCTTAGTATGTGTATGCATATGAGATAGGGACCTTAGATTGTAAGCTCCTTTAAGGGCAGGGACGAATGGAAATGAATGGTATGTACAGTGATGCGTAAATTGTCATCCCTATATAAATAACTATAATGAATAAATGTCTAAACACTGACTGAGGCAATACAAATGTTTGAAGTAGACTTAGCAACAGAAAACAAATCTCTTATTAACCATTATTGATGGTGAGTGATCTTTCTGCTGATAGACAGCCAGATACTTCTTTAACACATAAAAAAAAGTTTATAAACTGACATTTGGAGACAAGCGCCGTAAGGTTTCTAGCAGAAACCCTCTGTCGGTAGGCAAACAATAACTTTAGCACCCTTCAATTCAACAATGCAAAGCCAGTACCTTCTAATAGGCAGCTGCATTGTTGAATGCTGGGTGCAAGAAGCGTGGACCTATTTACTTTCTACGAATCCTCAATGAGTATTCACACACCAAAAAAATATGCATGACCCTCTTTTTTCCCAATGCACCATAACACATGGCAGATGTTTTCTGATGTATGTCTTGTGTTGTATTTAAAGTGACACTAAACTCAGGAATTCAATCTTAAAATTGCATTTAAGGGCATTCAAGTACCTTAATTATTAACAGAAGTGTATCTTATTTGTGTATCACTCGGCTGTAGATCCTCAAATCATCTCTGAATTGGTGCCGAAACTGTCCTTCCTTCTGGAGGGGGGCTACTTTTGTTCCCCATGGTCCCTGTGTGCAGGACCGGATTTACTCTCTCTGCTGCCCCAAGGCCAGGCTCCTCAATGCGCCCCCCTACCCGCCAAACCCTAACCCCCTCCCCATGGAGAATGGCAGACCTGCAGGCTGCATACAATGTCACTGAGATCACTTGTAGAAAACAAGCGGCAGCTTCCCCGCTGTACATTTAGCTCTGCTTGCCCAAAGCAGGAATAAATGTAGAAAACAACTACCTGCCCGGGTATCGGGAGATAAGAATTCCACACCCCAGCTGCCCCTCTGCTCCCTGCTGCCCCAAGGCCAGGCCTTTGTTGGCCTTGTGGGAAATCCAGTCCTGCCTGTGTGCGTTGTGAAGTAGCCACCACTCCAAGCTCGCTCCTGTAATGGACTACAATCTCAATACAGATCAGTAAAGTAAATGTGAGATTGGGGAACAAAAGTAGCCACCCTCCAGAAGGAAGGTGAAAAGCACTCACCTCATAGTTCTCCTTTAACATCACCCATCATGTTTATATTAATGGTTAAAGTTACCCATCATGTTTATTCCCTGAGGAAGGTGGGAGGTCTTTAAGCCCCCAAAACATGTTGGGTGTTCATGTTGTCATTTGTAAACCGATACTAAAAGTTTTTGGACTCTCAGACTGTTTGGTGCTCTCATTAGACTGTACTAACATGGTTTATTTTAATTAGCGGATTTTCATCTGCATATTTTATATTACATATATGATTTAAACACTAAGGTATTCTTGTTTGCGGTTTACAGGAGGGTGACACTGCGCTGCATGATGCCGTCAGGCTTAACCGCTACAAAATTATAAAGATGCTGATCATCTATGGAGCCAACATGATGACAAAGAATGCAGTAAGTATTTTTGACTCATTCTGCCAACAAATGTAACTGCTACTATGTTTTGGCCAAAAGTGGTAGACCCATATCTTGTCTATGGTCTCAAAACTGGCTGGTAAGCAGGTTTGCTGCTTTTAGCAACCCATGATGCTCTGGCCGGCGTCCTGCCCACTTCCTGGTCTCAGGTCCATGCAGCATCTCTTAGGGTCATGAGGGGGAGTGGGCAGCAAGTTTGCTGCTTTTAGCAACCTATGGCGCTCTGGCCGGCGTCCTGCCCACCTTCTGGCAACCAGTCACTGGTTGCCAGGAGCTGAGCGGGATGCTCTGGTCGGTGTCCCTCTCAGCTCCTGGTAAACAGTGATGTCAGTGAGCTGGGTGGGATGCCGGACAGAGCTGACACAGAAAATCTTGGCGGACATGACTGCTTAGGGATCCACTGTGCCAAAACCTGTGTCAGAAAGAGCAATTAACAGCAGTTACATAAAAAACTACACACGTAACCATATAGTAATAACATTTCACAAATCTATCAGTCATTCAAGAGTTCTATACTACAACCAAAGCAACAATATTTACATTAACGCTATTATCCCCTTTTGTGTGCAACACAGGATGGCAAAACCCCGACAGATCTGGTGCAGCAATGGCAATCAGATACCCGGGAAGCGCTAGTGAAAAGGACAAACCTTGGCGGCTCTGAGAAGCAAGTGTAAAGAAGAAATCAGCTTAGCTGTTTGTTGCTGAAATGCACAGAACCGGCAGATAGATGTCTGGATGTGACTAGGAAATGCTTTTAAAAATGCTTTTTTAAATGCACATTGTATGATAGAGTATATAACTGTACAGCCATTTCTCCTATAGTCTAAATTATTGTACAAAAGATACTTCTTGTTAAAATAAAGTTGAATTGTATAGCTCGTATATGTTTGTGTGGCTTGGGAAAAATCTTTAAAGCTGTATGGACCAACAGCATTAGGATTACTCTATTGAATTTCGGGGCTGTGGTGCTTCAAATATCTTATATCCACTGATATGAAAAGAAAAAGGTGTGACCCAAAGTCCATGAAGTCTTAAAGTGACACTAATCTCAGAAGATAAATCTTTAAAATGCATCCATGTACCTGAACTATTAACACAAATGTATCTTATTTATGTATCACTCGGCTGTATATCCTCAAATCATCTCTGAATTGGTGCTGACACTGTCCTTCCTTCTGGAGGGGGGCTACTTTTGTTCCCCATGGTCCCTGTGTGTGTTGTAAAGTAGTCACCGCTCCAAGCTCACTCCTGTGATGGACTACAATCTCTATACAAATTAATAAACTAAACATGACATTGTAGTCCATCATGGGAGTGAGCTTGGAGCGGTGACTACTTTACAACACACATAGGGAACATGGGGAACAAAGGTAGTCGCCCTCCAGAAGGAAGGACAGTGTCAGCACCAATTCAGAGATGATTTGAGGATCTACAGCTGAGTGTAGACATGTGCATTCGGACGAACCTGCATATCAACGAAATTCAGTATATTGGCGGTTTGTCCGAATCCGAAATAATAAATTGTTTACATGCACGAATATACTAAAACTATATTCAGGCATATATCAATTCATTATTACAACGTGCGGCGGCCATATTGGCCGCCAGAGCATTCTGTGCAAGCCCGCCACCATCTTGGAGGCGGGCCGCTTGACGTCACATGATGCCACACATGCGCGGTGTTGGGTGACGTCATTCGCACAATGAGCGGTGGCCATATTGGCCGCCGGCGTGTTCTGCCCATGTGTCTTGCCATTTGGAGTTTATCTTGGTATACACCAAGATGACGGCACCCACACGTTCGGGCCCGCTATCTTGGTGTATATAAAGATATACTCCAGAACACAGCGGTGGCTGATATGGCCGCCGCTTGATCTGCGGTTTATTTGTGCAGCTTCGGATTCAGAGGATCGTTGCCTCCGAATTTGAAACAGCATAAAAATGTGTTTCCTTTGACTAAACAAATTAAAATGTTTTTCATTTGTTTCCTCCGAAACAATTTTTTTTGCACTGCACAAGTCTAGCCGAGTGATCCACAAATAAAATACAAAAATAATATATTCTGGATGACCCAATGAATAATCCAGCAACCTTAATAATATGCAAACATTTATAATTTATTAATTAATACAGAAAAATAGAATTAAAAAAAAGTGATCAAGTGCAACGAAAGACCAAAGAAGAAAACCCAACCTTGAAGTGACATTAAACCCTCAGATTTTTTAACATAAAACAATACTGTAATGTGTGCCTTACTGTAATCCATGGTAGTTTCCCTTCTCTTTGCTGCTCTTCCTTTTAAATCTGTATCTCTTCTCATGCTGGGCAGAACTTCTGTTTTGCAGCAGACTGCCTCGTCTCTGAAATGGATACATGATGTCTGTGTGTAGGTTCCCAACCTGACCCAGCACTACAGGAAGAGGCACTCAGCTGCAAAGGGAAGTTCTCCCCAAGCATGAGAAGACATGAGGATTTAAAAGGAAGAGCAGCAAAGAGAAGGGAAACTACCATGGATTACAGTAAGGCACACATTACAGTATTGGTTTATGTTAAAAAATCTGAGGGTTTAATGTCACTTTAAAAAAACATTTAAAACTAGTGCAAGTCACCCTGAGACCCCAGAAACTAGGATAAAACATCATACATACTGTATATGAATGCTCATAGATCGGCTTTAAAGTGTAACAAATACAAAGCTTATAACTATTCCCCCAAGCCATCCTAGCAAAAAAAGAAATATTGTCTTTAGTTGGTGTAGAAATGTATCTCATATAAAATGGCACAAATGGTTAAAGTTCTTAAACTGGGAAATTGGAGGAAAAAGAACCGGAGCATTGCACTGGCACACACGGGATCAGGAAGGAATTGTGTTGATCTTTTGTGTGGCTTTTGAAGGTTTTGGCAAAACTTAGCTGGATAAATCCTCAGATCAACATTGTATTGCAGCTTTGTAGCAGTTATAAACATCCCATAGCTAAACCGGTTTGTTATGGGTCACTTCCATCCCTTAAAGCTGCCATGGCTTGTTGATCTGAGGATTTATCCGGATATGTTTAGTGGTGAGGATTTTATTTTCCCTTTTATTTCCTCTATAGGAGTTTTTGCAGATGTCAAGTTTTTTGTTTTGTTTTTTTCTTAACGTGTTGACTTATGTTTTGTTCAGAGTACTCTCTCTATGTACTGTTTGGTTGATACAAGTAGCACCTGCACTTTGCCCCCTTCCCCCAGCTTTTATAAATGAGTCTCATTATGTTTTCTACTAGTACTAGGGTCATCTCTTTACATTCCTGCCCTACTGTTTTATAATTTGTCCGATGGAAAAGGCTAATTGTATTTGAACTGTTTATTCATCCCAAACCTGCTTCTATAATCAGCGGCGTAATACCGCTATGATCATTGATACTGATCATCTGGCTACTCTCCCTAATTAATTACTTTCCTGTTATTATTTGCATAAGAACAGTGCATTGGTAAATGACACACTATGTTTGTGCTCACCTAGCAGTACTTCCGCACCTCTCTTCATGATCTGCTGTCCAGCTGGCTGTATCTGTGGTACGTAGGTCTCTAACGGCTGCTATTTTGTATAGGTTTGCATAAAATGTTTTTTGTTTTTTTATTGTTCGGATGTTGTTCCCATCTGTACCAATTATTCTCAGTTATACGGAGTTATTTAGATGGTCTGTGCAGTCCTTATCTTAAAGAAGAACTCCGGGCAAAATGTTTATTAACCCTTCTAGTGGGGCTACCCACGCACTGCAAGGGTTAACTGCTTGTTTTGTTCTAGTATGGAAAATAAAAGTTATACTAGCCCGATCCTCTGAGCCATTTTGCTCTTAAACCAGTCCCATCCACCTGGCTCCCCCTCTGCTGCAGCGGTCTAATCTCCCTCCACGTTCTATACATAGGGGGGAATTTATCAAAACTGGAACAGACAAAAAAAACAAAAACTATTCGGGACCTTTTTCTCCCCAGTCCCCATCTGCACTTACCTGCCAGTGACACTCGTCCCTAAAGTGATCCTCCGTTTCCTGTACTCCAGGTTGCAGGGGGAGAATACTGACGGCAGAGGAGCCATAGGCTCCATCTGCCATCAGTCAAAGTGTTGGTCAGAGAGAAGGGGTGTGGCCTACCACAGGGCTGTGTGTGTCTATGGACCAGTGATGTGTATTACTTCATATTACGGGTGAGGCATTCCCCCGCCGAAGCCACGCCCCCAAGCTAGTGTGAAGGAGTAAGGGAGGAGCCTCCCTGTCCCTCACTAACTACCTGTCAAAAACCGGATGCATCCATGACAGGTTACACTGTGGGGAGGATTTCCCGGCTGTGTAACCTGTTAGATGACGATCTGAATGGAGAAAAAGCTGTCAGCTTCAGACTTGAAGCTGACAGCTTTTTCCTCCATAATTCTAGGTGAGGCTCTGCCTCCCCTGCCTGCACGTCCCTGCTATAGACGCACACAGCCACTGCGGGCATGAGCGGTGGAGCCGCTGGAGGCACCAGTGCAGGGGGGAGGAGCGCTGCGGGGACCCACTTGAAAACGACGAATTAAAAACTTTTTTAAAAAAAACAACAACAGCCGCAGGCAAAGGTGGGTCTCCTTATAGCAAATATTTTAGAACAAGGAAGGTTGAAGATCGCTTTAAGTACTTGAAGTTGGCCATACTTGGGTTGGACAAGAGAAAAATGCTCGATTCCCCCATCCACTCTAACAGTGATGGTGGATAAATCTCCTCTGCCAGCTATTGTATTCAGCAGATGTGACTGTCATAATACCGGAACATAGTACAGTATGTAAGATTGAACATTATTATTATAATACAGGATTTATAGAGCGCCAACAGCGCTGCACAATATATGGAAGACATTACAATCACAATACAATTCAAGACAAGATGGTAAGGAGGGCGTTTTGTAGCGCGTTCCTACGCTCTGCAAAACGCTCAAACACCGAAATCCCATTATTTCCTATGGGTATGGTTCACACCTGGGCGTATTACAGGCCGTATGAACGCGCTACAAAACGCCCTACGCCCAAGGAAGTACAGGAGCTTCTTTGGGGCGTATTTGCTGCGCGTATGCATTGGGATACAGCCAGGTAGCCCTCGGAAACGCGCATTTTTTTTACAGCGAATCGCGGTAAAAACGCGCAGCACGAAACGCGCATATTCGATACGCCTAGGTGTGAACCCAGCCTTAGTGTGTGTCTGTATTTAACTGGTTCTAAGGCCGGGTTCACAACTAGGTGGCACCGGTTTTGATCAAAAATGCTCACCAAAATGTACAACATGCTTCTGCTGCGTGTTTTGCGGCATTTCCTTTGAAGTCTATGGGGAAAAACACGCTTTTAACTGCCCATAGAAGCTCCTGTACCTTTTCGGGCGTTTGGCTTTTTCCTGCTCAGGTGTAGAGTAGGGGCCATTGACAATCATGGGATTTCTTGTGTTGGGCATTTAGAAGCACGTTTCCAACTGCTCAAAAGCTCCTAGGTGTGATCCAGGCCTTACACTTCCCATATCCCTTTAGATTTTGCAAAAGAAGAAACTCATCCTGAAGTCTCTTGAATTTATCAGCAGATACCACCCGCCTGTGGGAGGGAATTCCAAACTTTCACTATTCTCACAGTGAAATACCCCTTGCGAATTCTACGATTGAACCCCTTCTCTTCTAACCTCTTGTTGTGTCCCCTGGTTCTCACTACAATTTTGGGATTAAACAGTTTGTTCCTAATATTATTGTCCCCATTGAGTATTTTGAAGACGGCAATAAAGTCCCCCTCCTAATGGCCTCTTTTCTAAGTTGAATAAATTATGATTTTGGATGCGGTCCTCGTAACATATTGAACAAAATTCAATCCCTGCAATTAATTTTGTAGTCCTTCTCTGAACTCTCTCCAGTTCTGGGACATCCCTCCTGAGAGTCGGCGACCAGAACTGTACCGCATACTCAAGATGGGGCCGAACCAATGATTTATAAAGTGGAAGTATTAAGGTGCCCATACACTGCACGATTCTCGTACGAGAATCGCAGGAAATCCCGCGATCGTACGAGAATCGTGCAGTGTATGGAAGGCGTGCGACCGTTTCTACTGTACGGTCGCACGTCTTCTTTCGAACCAGCATGCTAGAAAACCCGCCGGGAATCGTACGATTCTCGGCGAGTTAGTGGACACT